TTAGCCAATTGATGACGTAAAGTCCATCATAGGCGTTGCTAACAGCTTCCTTCATATTGGCTATCCATACCCTTAGCCCAGCCGCGTCGGGCTCTGGCGGGAGGTCTATGGAAATGCACTTAGTCGCAGCTGTACAGTTCGGATCATGGTGGCTAATGTACCCGCCGCCACCAGTCCCGAAAAGATGCTGTGGAACCTGAGAACTACCGATTGACAACGCACATATAGGACAAAGGCGAGTAGCCTTCGGGATGCAAATCTCACATGCCCTTTTCATGCATATTTTACATTCCTCAATTTTACTGGGATCAGGAATATCCCGATCGCACATCCGACATTTCTTGTCAGGAGGATCGGGGCCACGCATGGTCGGCGGCTCAAGGCCTGAAGGATCCTTTGGCCTTGTACCGTTGGGATCAAATCCTGGATAATATCCGGTTTCACGTTTATCCAGGGGCACGGGTTGCGTAGCCTTCGGAGGACTCTGAAGGTCAGCCGCGTTGGGTTGACCCCCAGTTGGAGTGTCACGGAATCTGTCAACGGGTGGCCGCAGAGGCGGCGAGTACGACCGTGTTGGGTTCGTCTCAGGTACGCCTCCAGGCGATCTATTCCTGACACGCTTACCTTCGGGATCCCTTCTTCTCCTAGTCTCGTCCCTAAGGCACGCAAGACAACAGGGACCCTGGACAAATCCAAATCTCCTGTAGTCATCCTGCCCAGCAGAATGTCTGGTGCAGTAGTAGGTCTTACAAAACTGACACTCAATTCCCTTTGTCAGGAACGAGCTCTCCCTACAGACTCCGCATCGGGGTCCGTTACGGGAACATTCTTCACACAGGTTCTCTTTAAACGAGAAACAATACTCACAAATATCACCTCTGCATCCCTTGCAGTGAAACTCAGCCATGAGATGATTATATCCATCACCTACATATTTACATCTGGGTTTACCAGGGTCGCCAGGGTTCCCACCGGCGGCACTCTTCCTCCCCCCTCCTCCTGGGCTTTGCCAATCTGGAGGAGGAGGTGGTGGAGGATCACCATCAGGAGGGCCAGGTGGAGGTGGCCGCTTATCCGGAGTACGGGACGCGGCTCGCCTTCCTCCTGTGTGATCGTTCAATCCACTACTTGAGGCCTGGTTCGAGTGCCTTGACTCGAGGGAGTTAATTCTCTGGGCCGTATTACCCAGCACCTCGAGCATTTGCTCGAGTTTACTGTTGAGCGTAGTTGAAACGGCCATGTTATGAGTATTTTGCTTGTCCGTGTAGGACTTGCAGTCCCTTGACTTCATCTCAAGGTTGGCTTGTGTCTCATAAAGTTGGTCTTTAACCCACTTTATGCCGTCCCTATTACTGGTCCAGCGTTGTTCGACATCTTGCATCATCCTATCAATCTGACATACCCTAGTGGATAGGTCCTCGATTTTGAGGTTCACTCCACCAATAGCAGGATGGTTGGATTGGCTCTCCACTAGAGATCTCTCGATCATATCAACACGAGCTATAAGCCCGGTTACACGATCAGAGAGAGATTCAAAAACAATTTGAACCTGGGTGATGGAGCGAGCAACATCATCATAGCTGGCCCGCTCGTTTAGGGCATCGCCTATACTTATCATGCGATCGGCAACGATCTTGACGCGTTGGCCAAGCTCGGTCACGATGTCCTTGGTCCCTTGTGATAGCTGCATGGCCGCGTTCGCAGCCTGCGTACACGTGCCACTCACATGGACGCATTGGTCGTACTTGGCCCTCCATGAGTTAACCTCAGTGGAGAGCTGCTTGATGCATTGATCACTTCTATCATTCCTACGACCAAGGTCTTCGACCTTAGCAACCAGGTGATGAATGATCGCACTTACCGAAGAGTCCACCCTCCCTTTTTCAAGGGCTGTTACAAGATCAGCAACCTCGTTGGGTTGCTCCTCACTCGTAGGACCAAATCCTGATCCGCGATCTCGAGGAGTGGACAGATCGACCATGATTGGATTAGATCTCGGAGGAGTTCTGAAATCATCCTGCACGGCCGTTGTTGGCCGTGGGAACTCACTCCGATTAGGGGATTGACTCTGATACGGAGCAGATCTCCTAGCATCACGAACCGCAGAGGGTTGTGTCATGCCCAGGCCTTTGGCCACGGACAGTTTAGGAACAACAGGCCTATCCATTCGCATAGGAACATCAGGTCTCGAGTCAGCAATAACAATGTCATTCAAGTCGGTCGCATTGGACACTCTAGACTCAGACATCGATTCAATATCAGTCGCATTACTGATGGTATGATTGCGACTAGAACTTGATGCCATCATGGATTCAGATTCTATCGGAACATTAGCTCCGTCCATGTCGTCCAGAGCGAAAATGGAAGCCGCGTTGGGCGTAGGGCGAACACCTTGTGCGTTCATGCCACTTGACCTATTAAATTCCTCCTGGAATGCTTCGATTCCATCAAGCACGTTAACGAGTGTGTCCGCGTTTAGCGGGTCTCTACCAATGATTGACGCTGGATCACCTGATCGACCGCGTCCTGAGTCCCGCGCACTGGGGTTACCCCTGTGGGCAGTTTCCCGATCCATCCCCCTTGCCCTATGCGATCCAGTCGAATTTGACCTTGATCGTTTGCTTGGGGTTGGACTGGGATGCAAATCCAATCTATCTACGATATTACGCTCCCTAGGGCTCTCAAATCCTGAAAGTCCTGGGGGAGGGGACATGTTCCTCATGGTCGGGTTTACCGACGGCCTTGGCCTGACGTTACGGCTGGCCACGTCAGGATTGAGATTCTCAATCGACAAAGGTAGCATGAATTCATCGCTTCCAGCAGCCCGTTTTGGGCTTTGGAATTGCGGGAAAGATGACGGGGCGGGTGGCCCTGGCATCCATGCGGCAAAATCCATACCAAAAATGTTTCCGTCGTTGGGCCATGAGGCTCTCCAATCGAGCCCACCGGATTCGGTCGGCAGATGAACATCAAATGCAACTCCACTGGATGAACCAGGTTCGGGATTACCGAGCACTTGAAAAGCTATATTACTGGTTGGCACAGGTCTACTGCTACTTCGAGAGTCACGAAACTCGGACTGACCAATATTCATCAGCTCCGGGAAAGATGAGGATTGAGCTCCAGGTGCAATACCGGGCTCGTCATCATCACGTCCTGAGACGGAATCATCATGGTCAGGACGATTAGCCCCATGACCCTGAGAGCGATTAGCTCTAGAGGCATTAGACGATAGATCATCAGTGCGAGTAGCACTGGATCTCCCTGAAGGCATTGCTTCTGAAAAAGTTGGTCCGACAAAAAGTCAGGACCGGAAAACATCGGCTGTCCGGGCACCTGGCCGTCATTCACAACGTCCAAGATTCCGGCCTGGCCGAGAACCCACTCATCGGTCACCACATGAGGTCCATCCTCGGTGATTCCCGCCATGAGTCCTACAGTAGCCTATGGAAAACGGCGCCTGCAGGGTTGTTATTAAATGGGGTTCGCGGTGCCAACCGAGGACGAATCCTACGGCTGATAACCTGCGAAAGGGTTTGAAACAGAGTTTCGGGATGGATAAAACAGGCCCTAACCCACCAACAAGAAGAGACCACCTTATCCCCCCGGTCCCAAGGGCAAAGCGGTTGCCCTCGGCCGGCACAAACACGAACCAAAAGGGGTGCCAGTTTAACAAACAGAAGAAAGAACCCAGCAAGGGCAAGCAGCGCAGCAAGCGCACGAGCAGCAGCACCAACGCGGGCAAGCAAAGCGAGCGAAGCAAGCAAAGCAAACCAACACGCACACCACCAAACCCCAATCCGACCTGCTCCACCCAGAAGCCCACCGCGCAGCGTCAGCCCGTCCTTTTTCAGGTGCGGGATGACGTGCCGCGCCGCGGGTTATGAGCGACGAAACAGCAAACGGGGATTGACGCAGTGGAAAGCTTGAGCCAAACGGCGCATTGGCCGTGGCGTGAAAACATGTTATGATAAAACTACATGCCCCCAAAAACATAAGGAAATGAGGCAACCGCCAACCAAAAGCCAGGCGGGTACATGTGGTCTCGTTTTTGCTGCCAACTATCTGTGCTCGTGCATGGGGGAGCCTTGCAGCTACTTTCAAACAAGGGCAACTCTGCACTTCCACGTTGAATCTCCAATCGCTGACCGGAATCTTGCCATTTTCAAAGGACGAGTGGGGTCATAAGTGACCTTTTGGAAAAATAGATGGCTCTGCTAAATGGATTCTAACCAAACTAACCAAAAAAAAGACACCTATGTCTGGGTTTCGAACATCAAGTGGCCACCGCCCCATCTGAAGCTGGGCCGCGTTTCGAACCGAGCTTTTGAGAGCACCCGAAAATCCTGAGAGAGAACCCCCCGAAAAGAAGTGGGCTGGTTTCCCTGTAACACAACCTCAACAAGGGCACCCTCAAGAACAGAAAACACCCACCAACTTGTCTACATCTTGCTGGCGCCGAGAGGCAACCTGCCTTCGCCCAAAGTCGACTGGAATCCCAGGAACTGTCGATGGAATCGAATTCTTCACCCACCCCAAACCAAACCAAACCATCCTATAGAAACCAACCGTAACCCAACCCGACGCCAGCCCGAGTCCAAACCTGAAACCCTACCATTCCACAGGGGGAGGAAGGAGGAGCGGGGGCTTGACCCTATATACATATTATATGCATATATATATATATATCGTAGATATATTATACATGATGAGTGTAGAGCCTCGGCTGGCCCTGAAGCGCGCTTGGGCCTGCAAACCAGGCACCCGTTGGCTCAATCCAAGATTTTGCCCGTGACGAGCCAGTCACTTGCTAACTCTTCGCCGCAACTGGGCTCTCAGATTGGATCGAAATCCCCTTTCGCCTCTTTAACCGAGCGATGTAAGCATGGGCAACACCTCAGGCCTTTCAAATGCTACCCAAGGTGCCAATAAGGGGATTTGTCGGGGACTTCGAAAGCCCTATGGTGTTGGACGGGAACCAGAGCGTGCAGCCCAAGCGCAAGGATATACGACTGCGTGGCATTGTCCCAGCCTGGGCCGGATCGCGCATGTGGAAGATGGATCGTAGACATGAAATCAGCAGTCAGCTGGTTAATGTTGACCCATGATTGGGTGAGGGCATAAACTTCCCTGCGTTACAATGGATATAGCCTACTCATTGGTATCTCTGTATTACCTTTTTGTACTCTAGACCATGTATCCCTTGCAGCTGTTGTGGATCCACAAGCCTTTTGCGCGGCTTTTGGATGCGTTTCGTGGGTGAGCAGAAAGGGGGGGAATATCAAGAGCTGAGGCCCCCGCAGGGGTAGCTGCTGGAGCTGTTCGATGGACAGCTCTCACGGCCTACGGTGACAGGTCCCTGTCTTCCCGCCCCGCCCCCAAAAGAAACAAACGACTGTTTGTCAATGGACACGCACCGGGATGTCCAATTCATGGCTTGCGACATCTGCAAATGATCTGAAGGGCTTGGAAAGATGGCCCTGATGCCCCAATCGGAAACCAAACACAGGCCGTCCGAATCCTTCCCAGCTCGGCTTCCGCCAAAAAGCTGCGGTGAACCAAACGCAGTTTGCGGAACGAGAGGCACTCAATATCGTCTAACTCCAGCTCGCCATGAACTCTGCAGATGAATGCCTCAACTGCAAGTGTCATGCGGCGACAACCGGGAACACCACTCACGACTGCTTCCAATCCTGCTGACACCTGGCATCCAAAAAAGCGCCACGGTGCTTTGCGAACCTGCGCATAAGTAAGTAGGTGTGTGCTTCATCTTATCAGCCGCATGCAAGCAACAAATAAGAGCACACGAGAACACACACACACACATGTCTGATGCAGGATCTGCCTGTGTGATTTCCTGCCCATGGGCCGCACGGTATACTGTATCGATCAATCCGCGTCTGCCCTAATGCCCATCGGGCCATCGGGATCGGCAGGGCCAGGGCTAAGCTCCGACGCCCAACTTGCAAACTCGGCTACGCGACATAAACCCCCCCCCCAAAAAAAAAACTGAACCGAAACACCCAAAATTCTATACCCAAAAAACAACGAGAGCCCTGATTTCTGTGCAAACCAAAATAATGTTGCCCGATTCCTTGACTTGAAATCGACGAGACCTCAGACTCCTCCTGAAAGAGGGATACTGACGCTGATTTTTTTGGGGGGCAACTGCAAAAGGTTTTCCTCTCGGTGCTTCAACTGTTGGTATTTAAAATTGTGGGGGGGGGTGTCCCCCCCTCCCAACGCAAAAAAGAAGCAAAAAGTAACTCGGTTTTCCGTTGGGGATTTTCCTTCAAAGATTGGAGGATCGGCTGCTCGACACCCAGAATTTTCCTTTTGGCTTCCCTTACCAAAGGGGCTTGTGCTTTCTCCACCACGAGAAGCACTCCTCTATGCTCCTATGGTTGTCAAGGCCCCCCCCCCCAAAAAGGGAGGCCCTTGACAAGGCTGGCCCTGACAATGGGAACTACAAATCCCGGGCGCGTAAGGTTTATCCGTCAGGTTCCCCTCGCCGCAGGTGTGCCCTGAGCTGTCGCGCGTAGCCAGGAGATCCACCGCACGCTCGGTCATCCTCCAGATACCCAAAAAAGGCTGCCCAAGAAAAAATAAGGAACCAAAAATGGGCGAACCTCAAAACAGGGGTCCCACAAAAACCGCGGTGTCCCTTTCAGTTTCACCCAACTCCCAAAAAGAAGTGGGGACCCACCAGGTCTAGCAAAATGGTTTGTGCCCGGCTGGTGTCCCCCATCACCACCCATAACCAACCAAAAAAGGCACCCTCCAAAAAACACGCCCACAATTGGCCATAGGCCCCCCTGGGCAAGCACCGTCTCTGTTCAAGGATCCTTTTCTCCGGAAAACCAAACAAAATCTGGGGCAGAGAGCCCCCAGAGGCCACTCCCAAGCACCTTACACTGGTCAAGTGTCAACCATCTCATCTGCACGCTTGATGGAGAAACCTTGTCGTTTCAAAAGTTCCTGACGGAACTTAGCCATGGCCCTTGGGGTCACACCAAAGATCAGCCATGTCAAGGGATCCGCGTTCCTCGGTTGATTTTTTTGGAATGCAAAAAAGACCATTAACATGTTAAAAAGGGAGCCTCTGGCGCAGTCCAGCCTGCGGGCGGGGGGGAGGGGGGGGCACCACGGAATGTGAGCGTATGCCAAATGAATGACCGCCAGCTTTGAACCAGCCGGCCGAACACGTCGGTTGAAGCGAAGCTGACTGTCCCTGCAAAGCCGATGGCTGCCAGCACCAGCAAGCAGGTGCCACAGAAGCCGACCCAGCTCACCTGGGCGAAGGAAAGACAGCTTTGACATGCAGAAAAGCACCAGCATCCTTTTAATGGATGTACGCATTGTTGGACGGATAGATGGATGAATGAATGGATAAGTTCTTTTTTGAAAACATGCATGTGCGTGGATGTGTGCGATTAAACCACTGCGCAAGGAATATGTGTATTTACACACTCTATATATATATATATATACGCATATACATACACTTTTACACATATGTATATATATATGTATGTATGTACATCGTGTCACATGACTGAAAACCCCATGTCCAGCTGCCCTGAAGCGAGCCCCCGCTCCTGAGCCAAACGCCTGTAGCTTGGCCCGGGCAAAAAATTCAACGCAGCCTAAGCAGCCTGTGCGGCCGGCAGGCTGAACGATTATTGCGCAGCACCACATCCTCACCTTCCGCATCTTCCTCAGCCACTCCTTGCTCAGCCCACCAAGGCCTTCGTAGCCCAGTCTTGGCCAAGTGCGCGCTTGGCCCCACCCTCGCTCGCCATAGCCAAGCCCCCAGCTGCGGCTTTGCGCTGCAGCCAGCCAGGCTGCTCAGCCCAGCAAGCAACAACTGCTCAAGCCTCTCACGGCTCTTTTTGAGCCCGGCCGAGGCGGGCAGCGAGCAGCGTTTACCAGTGGAGGCGGCGCACGGCAGTTCTATGAAAAAATGAAGTTATCTTTCTATTAAACCGCATTTTCTCTTATTGCTGTTCCTTCCTTCTTTCCTTCGTTCCGTCCTTCATTCCTACCCTCTTTCCTACTGTCTTTCCTACTGTCTTTCTTTCTTTCTTTCTTTCTTTCTTTCTTTCTTTCTTTCTTTCTTTTCTTTCTTTCTTTCTTTCTTCCTTTCCTTCTTTCCTTCCTTCCTTCCTTCCTTCCTTCCTTCTTTCCTTCTTTCCTTCTTTCCTTCTTTCCTTCTTTCCTTCTTTCCTTCTTCTTTCTTTCTTTCTTCTTTCTTTTCTTTCCTTTTCGATCCTTTCCTGTCTTGTTTTCTCTCTTTCTTTCTGTTCTTTCTTTTCTTTCTGCTCTTTCTGTTCTTTCCTGTCTTGCCTTTCTTTCCTTTCTTCCTTTCTTTGTTTTATTTATGTATGTCCTTCAGTTCTTGCTTTCTTTATTTCTTCCTTTCTTTCTTGATGATATGTCACTCTCTCTCTCTCTCTCTCTTCTCTCTCTCTCTTGGTTTTATCTAGCAAATCTATCTCTCTTCTATCTATCCATATATCTCTCTATTTCTCTAGCTGCTTGTGCATCTGCTATCTAGCAATGGATTTGTCTCTCTGGCGATTCGTCGCTCTATCTAGCTATCTATCTATCTGTCTGTCTTTCGGACTATCTATCGATCAATGTCTGCATCTATCAATCTATCTTGTCTCTCTCTCTCTCTCTCTCTCTCTCTCTCGCTCTCTCTCTCTCTCTCTCTCTCTCTATCTATCCTCTCTATCCCTGCCAATTTACGCACCCGCCGATCTATCTCTCTCTCTCTCTCTCTCTCTCTCTCTGTGTCTCTCATTCTTTCTCCCTCCGACCATCTATCGGTCTATCTTATCTCGTTTTGTTCCTATCTACCTACCTGTTTCTATCCACTTTCCAGATTTTTTTCTATCTATCTATCTATCTATTTCTCAGCGCTATATATCTCCCTCTCTCGTCTTCTGTTTATCTAACTATCCATCTACCTGCGCCTGACCACGACATTCGCACCTCACCTTCCGTAAGCTGTGCCTGCACCTTCCCTTGCGAAAGTGCTGCCTGCCACGAGGTCCATACTTCGCCACAAACCCCCAGCGGCCTTGCAAAAGCGTTGCGCCTGACACGACGTCTGCACCTGACCTTGCGAAAGTGCTGCATGTCGTGAAAAGCTTGCGCGTCCGCGCCATGGGCCCGGCCCCGTGGTCCGAACGTGCTCCATCCAGGCGTCAACTTTTGAGCATCCCAAAGCCCAGAAACCCGCAGAGGTTTGCACTGTTGACACAGGTATGAATTTGAAACGGACCCTTTGGTGGCCATCATGCAGTGGCGGATTCAGGTCCACCGGTCACTTTTGAGTTGGTTCCCTGTTAAAATGCATCGCAACATTACTATTCTCCGCGCGCTTATGCTTGTCTTGGCATTTGTTTCAGCACGGAAGTTCCTTCCAACTTCCTTTGACAATTGTAGGTGTTTATTTGCTTGTGTCTTGTATATATACATACAGATAGATATACAGATCCAAGCACGTAGATCTGTATGTATACAAATGCATTGTAGAGCGTAATGTTACGTTCCGTAATGTGGTGTAATGCCGTGCCGTGTAAGGTAAGGAAATGCAGCGCACCCACCGATAAACTCAAGAGTCGTTCATTGCGGGGGCATCAAGAAGCAAGCGTAGTAGTGTTAAAGTTGAAGCATGGCCAAAAGCCGGATGTGCATACGGGTGTGCGTGTGGCCGCACTGTTGCGTGCGAGGTTGTAAGTACGTGTGTTCTGTCATTCGCGTACGTGCGTCGTGTGAGCGCACAAAAAGCAGCACATCAAATATTGATAAGACAATGCAAATTGCGACGCACACTTTGCTTTGCAGTGTGCGCGCGCACGATTTGCGCGTGCAGCGCGCGGCATATGCGTTCATGCGCGGGCCGCGCGTGCGCGCGCACTGTGCGCACATTGTCCGCGCGAAGTGCGCGCAAATCGTGTGTGTGTGTATATGTGACCGTAGCCCTACCGTACAGGGGCGTTGCTCACTCATCATAGAGGGCTAAACGCAAACATGACTCTTGAAATTGAATGAATATGTAGAAAGTTTGCCAGTCTCAAAATTGATTACAAAGTAAGTTATATCTTCCGCAATGGATACTACACATGGCGAGTTGAAGCCGACCGCATCTTGTTCACAAAGCGGGGTCCAACCTGAGAAAACGGGTTCAGTCTTTGCACGGGCCAAATCCTTGCGGGATCAGTAAGCTATCCAACACAACATGAGCTCTGTTCAAACGCATCTTATAGGACAGGAATAATTTTGGGGGCGCATGGGGGCTTGGGCCAAACTTCGCTCGATCAACCGCAAAGAACCCTGGACTGCTGGCTAAATCACGTCAGTGCAGGATCTCTCCACATCGCCGGGGTCTTTCAGCCAGTCCTCCTCATTCCATCCGTCTCCAGAGCGGTCGATGGTCAGTCGCCGCAAGTTTTCCTCGATCAAAGATGCGACCATGGCCAAACATACCAAACATGCCAAAGAAACACACGCATCACGCGCCCACGAAAGTCATCCACATGACTTTTGTTTCACTTCGGGGGGGGGGGGGGTCCCCTAGTATCACAGAAAGTGGCCCTAAAGCCAACTCAAGAAAGGGCGCCGAGAACCCGTCCGGACAGGCCAAAGGCCTCGGCCTCAAAGCAAAGCCCCACCTGGACCTTCGGGAATTCATGTTAACTTCGGACTCCGGAGGACCTTTGCCAGGCTGCCCGCCTGTGCATTGGCACAGGCTTGGCCCAGGGGCCCAGCACGGACAGATAGACAGACAGGCCGACAGAGCCACACATCAACCAACCAACCAAGCAAACCGAATCAAACCAAACTGAAACAGACACAGAGACACAGACATAGACACAAACAAGGACACAAACACAAACCATAGACATAGAGACATACATGTATAAATAAATCAGCCAATAAACAAATATGAAAACATATCAACATATATAGATGAATACATATGTTCTAGTCGCCAGGCCACCAAAGCACCCGGATTCCCACACCACGGTCCCCAGACCCCCTCCTCGAGCCCCTGAACTCGCACCCGTGCATCCCGACACGTAGGACAACTCAACCCACAACCAACCCCAAACCCCAACCCTAAACCAATCCTATGCCCCTAGCCCTTAACCCGAACCCCAAACCAACCCCAACACCCACCTAAACCCACCCTAAACCAACCTGAAACCGAACCTAAATCAGCCCTAAGCCAACCCTAAACCCACCCTAAACCCACCCCAAGCCAACCCTAAACCAACCCCATACCCACCCTAAACTAACCCTAAACAAACCCAAACCACCCCCCAACCACCCACCCAACCACCCAACCCCACCCCCCCAACAGGGGGGGGGGATGGGGGGGTCCACGGCCTGGAACACATATGTATATATATATATATAGACGCACGCACGCACACAGCCACGGACGCTGACACTCTCGCACAGAGAAACACCCCGAGAAAAAGAAGAAAAAGAAAACCTGTGTACATGTGCAAGTTTCGTCACGCATGTGTGTGTGTGCTGTAGCTCCCTGAAACGAGGTCCAGTTGGGAAATCACAGGCCCCCTGGCTGCGACCAGTGCCGAGCCCTTGAGCCTCTCTATGTCTCCACTGGGAAAACTGAGGTAAAAAATAGGCCCTTCATAGTGGCTAATAGCTGCGTATCTTACTTGGGGGGGTAGTGGTTTGAGAGTGGAAACCATGTTAAACGGGCCAGCCGGAAATTTGACACGGACTTGTCGTTCTGCAAAGAATGTTCAAATATTTGTCCATCATGGCAAAATTGCAAAGGGAAAGATGCAAGTCTAGAAAACGGTTCCGCCTGAGCCGCCGAGTCTCTATGTGGAAACTTCTGCTCCTCACGCGAGACTCCACGCTGTCCGCGTCTGAGTCCGAGCCTAGCCAAAGGTTTCTGAAAACCGAAGGAGTTGGACACGGATCTCAGTTGCCCAAAGGACCCAGAAATAAAAGGTTAGCCTTTTGGAACCTTGACTAAAAATGGACCCAATCAGGGAAACCAAAAGGTCAAAAGGTCGGCTTTGCGCAACTGAGGGATTTGTGAACCCTGGTGGTGGGGGGTAACACTCTGTAAATTCGCCAGGTTCAATCCGGGATCAGACAAGCCAAATGTCTAGCCACCTGTGAGTTGCTGGAGCTGCTGTGCTTCGAGGCCTCCCAATCTGGTGGCTTCGCTCGCGTGCGTGCTAACTGGGGTGTGGATCGTCTCAGCCAGGAGACGGAGAAAATGCCACTACACAAATTTTGTAAGACGGACGAAGTTCGCAATTTCGCCGTAGCTCTGATCTGTAGGGGTTGCGACTGGCAGCAAAATGTTTGGGTCAACATAGGCGGATCCCAAGCTTGAGGTTTTCCGTGCTGCTTCTTTTTTACAAAGCAAGAACACCTCAAGACACACACACATGCTGTGTTGTGATCCAAAAGGCGAGCCACTTTGCCCTCTTTGTTTTCCTGCGTGTCACAAACAATACTTCTCAAATTGGAAATAAGAAATTCAGGAAGGACCTTCATTCCGAATAGCTGCTCCAACTCTTGCCCCCAAGTCACATGCGATGTGAAAAAATTGATGCTCAAGCCCTTTTGAGCACCTGGCCTGCCGCGGATCCTCCAAACACCCGGGTCGCGTTGGGTCCCGCCACCCTGGCCGCATTTGGCCCCGCCCGCGCCACGCTTGGCGGCAAGTTGACGGCCGCGACGGCCGCCCGGCCTGGCCCAAATTGGGCGGCGAAAACTGATGCGCCCAGAGCGCAGCGCTCTTGTATTTTGCATCCGCCAGTTTCACCGGTCGTACTGGCTTTGAAGGCATCTCATGACATCGCCTTGGTCACTTCGTCATTTTCAGCCGGTCGAATTTGCAATCGCTCGGGATGACTGGATAGCCAGCTCCGGAAATCAAATTTCCGCTTCACGATTGTTGGTGAACCAACTGAGTTTCTTCAAGAAATTCCAAAAAAACCACCTGCTTTCCAAGGATTCGGATCAAAGGCTGGTCCCGCCATAGGTGGCCTTTTGGAAAATGGGTTTCCCCAGTTAATGGAATCAACCCCATCTAAACCAGGAATCGCCCTCTATGTTTTAAGCAAACCAACCAGAAAGGACACCTATGGGTCCCGCCCTGCTAAAAGTTCAGCCTTTAGTGGTTTAATGCGGAAAACCCATTAGTTGGCAAAAAGTTTTCCAGTCGTAACATCCCTTGGTAAAATGCACCAAAGCATTCATTGCGCACACCAGCTGGGTGGCTAAGGTTGAGTGTATGTAAGGGGACTGACATCCGTGGACGGGGCAAGATGTACAGAGCAGGCGCAACGGGTTACGTTTTTAGCCTGACGCCTTGAAGACGCGTCTTCGTGTCTTCGCGTCTTCGCGCCTTCGAATCTTCGCGTCTTCGTGTCTTCGCCCAACGCCCTGCTGACTCCCTGCAGCCCTGAAGCCCTGAAGATGCGTGTCTTCGTGTCCCTGCGTTTTTGCCCAAGCTTTCTCGGAAGCCCTCTTATGTCTTCGCGTCTTTGTGTCTTTGCCAAAGCTTTACTGACTCCCTGAAGCCCTGAAGCCCTGAAGATGCGCATCTTGGTGTGTTCGCGTCTTTGTGTCTTCGCCCAGAACCCCAGAAGCCCTGAAGATGCACTCTGCTGACTCTCTGACGCCCCGAAGCCCTGAAGATGCGCGTCTTCGTGTCTTCGCGTCTTCGTGTCTTCGCCGAAGCTCTGCTGACTCCCTGAAGCCCTCAAGCTCTGAAGCTGCGCGTCTTCGTGTCTTCGCATCTTCGTGTCTTCGCCGAACCTCTGCTGACTCCCTGAAGCCTTGAAGCCCTGAAGATGCGCGTCTTCGTGTCTTCGAGTCTTCGTGTCTTCGCCTGACACCCTGAAGATGCGCGTCTTCGTGTCTTCGTGTCTTCGGGCCAATTTTCGGTGTAACCCTCTGCGCCTTCAATGAAAAAATCAGAGATGTACCAAGGCTTAACAAGCCCCGTCCACGGTCCCGCCCTTTGAACTATCCTTTTCGGTCGCCTCCTCTGCGCGCAGCTCGCTCAGGCCGCGCCGCCTGCTGCGCCTGCGCCCTGGCGAGGACTTGGCGCGCCGAGTCGGCGCTGCAGCCAGCCCGGCGAAAACGGGACAGGCCGAAAAATTGACGCGGACTTGTCGTTCTGCACCAGAGAAAAAAAGGTTCAAGCCTGGGCTTGACATATTTTCATCATAGCCAAGGGAAAGATGCAAGTCTAGAAAACGGGTTGGAGGCATTATTTGTTGATTTCACCTGGTCTTCCCCTTTTCGTCCTTTTTTGCAAGATTCGACAGGGGTGGACCCACAAAAGGCACATCCAAACCGTTTTCAAGAGCAAGATGTTCACCGACCATTTTTTTCAGGATGCACTCGGCTTGCCCCGGGCCGGTGGGCGCTAAAAAAGTGCCCAACAAGCATTGCATCGGATGTAGTCGTTGTTTACTCACCCCCCGACCCGCCCCAAAAAAAAACTAAGGGGCGCCCTCTCGGGCACTGGCGGGGGCAGCTTGGAAACCAAGCGAGGGGAAAAAGGCAGCCGCCACGTTGGTCATCGACCTAGCCCACAACAAGTGTAACTGTATGTCAAGGCCATGTATACAATCACATTCAACCCTACTCTAGCCTATTGAATTACCCCAGACAGTGTGATGTTCAATGCAAGCCATCAGAATCTGAAAGGAGGAAACCAAGAGTACAATACACTTCCGCAACGCCTCACCCATTAGACCAACGTCCCTTTGAACAACATTGGAAAGCCAATTGGAAGCAAGTCTTTCTGATGAAAGATGACACATTGCAACATTCCCCGGGCCCCCCAAACCCGAGCTTTTGCGCCAAGCAACAGAAGCAAGAACGCTAAGCCGCTAAGGAAAACCAAAGAAAAACATGGAACACCTGAGGGTCAAATGATGGACACAAATCGCATGGAAGACCAATGGAAACAAAAGGGAGAACCAGGAGACGTTCAGGGCATCTTTGTCCGCCTGGAACCCCGCCTCACCACCTCCTCATCATCATCATCGTCGTCAACTTCGCCCAGGCAGAGCAAGCGCCAGTCGAAGGCTTCCCACGCCGCTTGTAGCATGGCGTGGTCCCACCATGGGATATTCGACAGTACCAGAAGCCGAAACCAACCCGCACAAAACCACCGGGGGCGGGGGGGGGTGGGCCCACCCGATTTTGCAGTGACGGTGTCCGTTGCTGATGCGGCAAAGCGTGGCTGACCCTGAAGCATAGGTGTCATGAAGTGGCCCCCTGTCCCTGGAAAGGTAGGCTTCTGTTTTGTTGCAAGAATTCGCTGGCATATTGTTTGGCATCCGCAACTGCCCCAGTAAATATCACCTGCCAAAAGGAAACCTCGCTTCCACTTGGCCCAGATGTTTGAAACCTCGCGGCCTGCTTGACCTCCCAGCGCTCGCATGTGTCGAAGAGCTGAGCCGGTGGATCGGGTTGCGCGTGAGTTCGGGCAAAGTTGACCCCTTGCTGGCTAACAAGGAAACCCCAAAGGGGCTAGAAACGCTCAATAGTCTTTACTTCAAGTCCAAGCTATGGGAAGCCCGCTTGCCAAGGACAGAAACCAGACCGAATGGCAACTGGCCCGGAGGAAGCGAGTCAGACATTAGCACAACGCGTTGAGCACAAGGACCGACGGGGTCGGGCGGGGGTGGGGACGTTGGAAGAGGGCTACCAATTTCACCAGTGCGCTCGGTCTCAGTCATAGGTGCTAAGTCCAGGAAAACCCCAAGGAAACATGGCTGTGGGTCAAAACCAATGGTGCCATTTTGGGGTAGGTGTACCACGCATTTTAGTCTATTTTAATGAGGGTTGGGATGTTCACTGGGGGTACGGGCTTTTGACCCATGGCCACATGACCTTTCTCCTTAACAGCGACACTTTTCGCACTCTCGGCCTCCCGTCCGGAGGCGGAAAAAAAGCCGCGGGCGCCGCCAGTGAGGCACCGCTCTCTGACTGCCCCGCGCTTAGCTAGCGCGCGCGGAAACCCCTGGTCTCCCTTGAAAGCCACTGGGATCGCAGGGCGCGCGCAAGGTGCAGAAAGACGATGACCACACCTTGGTTGCTTCAACGACCCCCTGCAAAAAGTTGAACACTTTTGGGGGGTTTGTGGAAAACACCTTTATTTCAACCAAAAAGTTAAAGTCTAAAGATCCAACCCACTAGCGGTCAAGACACCCGCGAGGTCCAAATACAGTTGGAGTAGGGGGGGTGCAACTTGCTTTCAGCTTTCTGCACGCCTGGCTCTGTACACTTTTGGGACCTATTCGGAGTTGTGAGCAACACCTATGCTCACACTGCAAATCTAACATGAGCCAAACCAAACAAAAAACAAAAAGGCACAACTCTACGCAAGGGACGGGTTTCTTGGGTTCCTTTCCTTTATCTGAAGGGGGGTTTCTTTCTAACCTTCTGGCACCAGAACCTCGTCTCGGGGATCGATGGATCGATCAACCCGACCTTCTGGAGCAAAGCCTCACGGCTCACATTCTCGGCGGGATGTCTTTGCACATCTCCGGAAACCTGCGACTTGCGGGGTCCCCTTTGAGCCTCTCGTTTCTGAATTCGCTTCGAAAATTCCTGACATCCACAGCCGAATTTTACTTGGAGACCCTTTCGAGGATTCATGTTCATGACTTTCAGGGTGGCTCCCTACCGACGGCTGGAAGAAACTTCCCACAACGTCATCGAAACGTGGATGGCTTTTGGAGTTCCATCGACCTCACCCTGAATCATGGGTTTAAGCCTCACTCACGGGCTATTTTGACATTGGGCATGTGCCATTGGGCGGGGGGGGGGGGGTAAAACCGCATGTCTGAAGGTGCAAAGGGGGTTGCCTCACAAATTGGGTCGGTTTTGCGCCCCATTTCGCCCATGGCCCCTTTGCTGCGGGTGCCTTTCAAGTTGCTGAGAACACGCCGAGGCCAAATCCTGAACGCCCATGCGAAAAAGCCCCGCGCCCCGCGCCTGTCCCGCACCACAATAGGAGCTTTGCGGCCCATGTCGCCCGCCCCGCAGTTTTGACCTGAGTCTCGCGCTCGGAGTCGCGGAGTCTCGGCGTCTCGGCGTCTCGGCGCCGCCAGGGGCGGCGCCGAGCAGAATTCTGTTCACGTAACGCACGCCGGGAACAAAAACGGGGCGAGCTCCGCGAGGTTCCCATGAACCGTAAGACTGGGAGATGTTTGGACCACGCTGGTTAAAGTGGGGCTTGGGACGTCGCGTCGCACCAAGCTGTGACCTGCTTCCATGGGCAACCGGAAGCGGAATGGGTCCTCTGCAGGTTCCGTCTGGGCTTCTGGCTCCAGTACCGAGGGTGGCTCTTGGAATCCTCAGCCCGAGCAACCCGGAAGTTGACCGAAGGATGCCCTCAATGGGCCAGCCCTCTATTCAAGCTTTCTCCAACTGAGTCAACATTCGTCTTGGCCAACCGTCCATCCCCAGTGTTGAGTTCCCACCCAAGTGTCGATAGTGCGGATCTCCCATCCGCCCTTCTTCTTCAGGTCCTGCCAAACGAAGATCGGAATTGCAAACGACCGCCCCAAAGCTATGGTTGGTTCCTTTCAAAAGCATTTGAATCTCAAAGAAAGGACCAGATTTCCCCGGGCTGGGTGACTGAAGAAGCCACCCCTTCCTCGCTGAAAACTGGGTTCGTCAAAGTGACATCCTCAAAATCCTGGAGCCCAAGAGCTTGTTTTCCAGAATCCAAATTCTAGGGGGCCCTGGAGAATGACAAAGACGCCTTCTTGATCCTTTTTGCATTTCGTGCGACTCTCGGCAAAACAAATGTCCGGTGCTCCTCGGCAATCTTGTTGAGCCGGATAGCATTCACGCCAAAGTCGTAGTTTCCCTGCGACCACAAGCTGTATGACTGCAAAACTTTCAGTGGGAACTACCCTCCCGCCTTCTTGAAGTCAAGTAGCTACTTTAAGCGGATATGAGTGGATGTGCGTGGATATGACTGGGTCCCCTCATCCTTACCTGACTTTACATGGAACCTGACGTTCGGGGGTCCCTTTGAAAGGAGAATGATCTTCCAGTATCCCCATGTCAGTTTCCATGTGAATCGGTGGGAACTTCGTGGACGTTAGCTGGATTTACATCCCCGAAGCGTTTGAGGCGCCGCAAGAAACATCTTACTTGGAGGAAACCTGGAATCCCCGCAGGCGGTTATCTTATCGGAATTCTTACACTGATTCTGGGATCAACTACATCAGTCGTTTCAGCCCGCGGATAGGTGGAATGCACGCCAAGAGAAATCCTATGACCTCTTGCAAGAGAGGCAGCCCCGCGTGACACGTGACTGTTCGCATCTAGTCAGTCCCGTCCCTGAGCCTGTTCCTTTTGATCCCCTTTAAAACCCACTCCAAAAACTAACATCTAAAAAAAAAAAAAACTAAACACCCTCCCTGCTTTTCTGCAGGAGGGTCCAACTCGGAAAAAAAAAAAAAAAAAAAAAAAAAAAACTGATAAAAATAAAAAAGGTGACCCACCCAAATGTGATTCTTGGCTGTTTTGTTTGTTGTTCTTTATTTTTCTTTGTTCGGGAGAGAAAAAAACGGACAGGCTCACATTGGGACGGTCGACAATGCGCCTGGCGGCTGGAGCTACGCACGTACAACGACCCCTCGCGGGCATCGTCCGAAATCCCGGGGATGACGGCCTCGGAATCGGCCGGGCCAGGGATCTAAGTAGGAGCTGGTCTAGTCCCCCAATTAACATGGAACGACAAAAGCACCCATTTGTAGAGGAATCGCATTTTGGGACGTGGAACCTAGAAAGCACACATGTGTAGAGGAATCTCAGTTTGGGAATTAAGATGGAACCCAGAAAAAACACATTTGAGCATGCATCTCATTTTGGGAATTAACATGCAACCAAGAAAACACGCATTTGTAGAGGAATCTCATTTTGGGAATTGACATGGAACCAAGAAAACACGGACCCCCTTTTTGGGATCATTCTGTTAACTTGTAAGAGAGTAACACTCTTCCAACAATGGAATTGCAGAGGAGGGGTTTTGGAAGACCACAATCATCTTGCAAAGGCCTCCTATCCAATTTCATGATCGTTCGAAAGAGGGGTAGTTTAATACTGTGGATGAACGAAATCCATTTGGGATTGATGACACCCTATGAATAAAGGGGCGAAAATTGAGGCGACCCGGGCGTGTGACTGTCAAGAATTGGACACGCCCGTAACTAACCAGGGGTTTATCAACCTTGGGTTCCCATTAAACACACGGTACGAGCCAGGCCTGGTGCAACAAGCGTGGCGGGTGCCGATGCTCCGGGCACTCAGTCCACCAACGGCCACACTCGGAATGCCAAGCAAGCTGCGAACTCCACATCATCACGATGCCCCCTGGCCAGCGCGACAGCAACTCCTGTGGGTATGTGTCCATATAGTCAAAATCAAGGGACCGAAAAAACGGAGAAGAAAAAAAAACATGTTGCCTTAGGTAACCTTTTGGAAAAATTGATGGCCCTGGAAAATGGATAAAACTGTGCCATCTACTTCTAACCAAGAAGGACACCTATGCATGTTGCGTCTCTTAACCCCGCCCTTTGAATCAAACCGAGCACCCTCCAGCTGGGCTGTTGGAACTGACCACGACTATGGTACAAGAGAAAGGGCTTCCCAAAGACGAACTCCCATAGAAAAGGGGAGATCCCCTTGTATCACAGAAGTGGTTCAATAGACCCCGAGTGATCCCACAACCCTGCCCTCCAACAACACACAAGCCCACGCGTTTGTCTACTTGTTCTTATGTCGAGTTCGAGGGCCCCTCGCCCAGGGCCACCTTTTCGGGCACCATGGACACCCAAGGGCAGTTTCGGGCATGTTCTTGGGAGGCCTGGAGGCGTACAACCATTTAACTAGGTCCTCTAGTAGAGAGGTTAGAATAAGGGTACCCTTTTTTGTGTAGTCTATTTTAGGTGGGCAACCCTCCCCAAAAAAGGGTAAAAGGGCACTACTGGGAAATCTAGACAACATGTATTAAGTACATGACCGCAAAACTGCATACAAAACCTCCATCCAAAAACTTCTCCTGAACCCATCATCGCCGATCATGCCGCACATCTCCCAGGCGCCTCCTCAGGCTCTCGAAAATCACATACCTCGGACCGGCACTCGGAACATCCGTGCCCAGCTGGGT